TAATTCATGAAAACTTGGCTTATTAGGCAAATTGGGCCTTGCATAGTAGGCCTAGAAGTGCATTCTGGCTACTAGGTACGACATATATATATATATATATATATATATATATATATATATATATATATATATATATATATATATATATATATATATATATATATGTCGTACCTAGTAGCCAGAACTCACTTTTCAGCCTACAATGCAAGGCCCGATTTGCCTAATAAGCCAAGTTTTCATGAAATAATGTTTTTTCAACTACCAAACCTACCTGACCTAACCTAACCTAACGTTTTCGGCTACCTAACCTAACCTAACCTATAAAGATAGGTTAGGTTAGGTTAGGTAGGGTTGGTTAGGTTCGGTCATATATCTACGTTAATTTTAACTCCAATAAAAAAAAAATTGACCTCAAACATAATGAAATGGGTAACTTTATCATTTCATAAGAAAAAAATTAGAGAAAATATATTAATTTAGGAAAACTTGGCCTATTAGGCAAATCGGGCCTTGCATAGTAGGCTGAGAAGTGCGTTCTGGCTACTAGGTACGACATATATATATATATATATATATATATATATATATGTCGTACCTAGTAGCCAGAACGCACTTCTCAGCCTACTATGCAAGGCCAAATTTGCCTAATAAGCCAAGTTTTCATGAAATAATTGTTTTTCGACAACCTAACCTACCTAACCTAACCTAACCTAACTTTTTCGGCTACCTAACCTAACCTAACGTTTAAAGATAGGTTAGGTTAGGTTAGGTAGGGTTGGTTAGGTTCGGTCATATATCTACGTTAATTTTAACTTCAATAAAAAAAAATTGCATAGTAGGCAGAAAAGTGCGTTCTGGCTACTAGGTACGACATATATATATATATATATATATATATATATATATATATATATATATATATATATATATATATATATATATATATATATATATGTCGTACCTAGTAGCCAGAACGCACTTCTCAGCCTACTATGCAAGGCCCGATTTGCCTAATAAGCCAAGTTTTCCTGAATTAATATATTTTCTCTAATTTTTTTCTTATGGAATAATAAAGCTACCCATTTCATAATGTATGAGGTCAATTTTTTTTTATTGGAGGCAAAAATAACGTAGATATATGACCGAACCTAACCAACCCTACCTAACCTAACCTAACCTATCATTATAGGTTAGGTTAGGTTAGGTAGCCGAAAAAGTTAGGTTAGGTTAGGTTAGGTAGGTTAGGTAGTCGAAAAAACATTAATTCATGAAAACTTGGCTTATTAGGCAAATCGGGCCCTGCATAGTAGGCTGAGAAGTGAGTTCTGGCTACTAGGTACGACATATATATATATATATATATATATATATATATATATATATATATATATATATATATATATATATATATATATATATATATATATATATATATATATATATATATATATATATATATATATATATATATATATCGTACCTAGTAGCCAGAACGCACTTCTCATCCTACTATGCAAGGCCCGATTTGCCTAATAAGCCAAGTTTTCATGAAATAATTGTTTTTCGACTACCTAACCTACCTAACCTAACCTAACCTACCTTTTTCGGCTACCTAACCTAACCTAACCTATAAAGATAGGTTAGGTTAGTTTAGGTAGGGTTGGTTAGGTTCGGTCATATATCTACGTTAATTTGAACTCCAATAAAAAAAAATTGACCTCATACATAATGAAATGGGTAGCTTTATCATTTCATAAGAAAAAAATTAGAGAAAATATATTAATTCATGAAAACTTGGCTTATTAGGCAAATCGGGCCTTGCATAGTAGGCCAAAAACTGCGTTCTAGCTACTAGGTACGACATATACATATATATATATATGTCGTTCCTAGTAGCCAGAACGCACTTCTCAGCCTACTATGCAAGGCCCGATTTGCCTAATAAGCCAAGTTTTCATGAATTAATGTTTTTTCGACTACCTAACCTACCTAACCTAACCTAACCTAACTTTTTCGGCTACCTAACGTAATCTAACCTATAAAGATAGGTTAGGCTTGGTTAGGTAGGGTTGGTTAGGTTCGGTCATATATCTACGTTAATTTTAACTCCAATAAAAAAAATTGACCTCATACATAAGGAAATGGGTAGCTTTATCATTTCATAAGAAAAAAATTAGAGAAAATATATTAATTCAGGAAAACTTGGCTTATTAGGCAAATTGGGCCTTGCATAGTAGGCCAAAAAGTGCGTTCTGGCTACTAGGTACGACATATATATATATATATATATATATATATATATATATATATATATATATATATATATATATATATATATATGTCGTACCTAGTAGCCAGAACTCACTTCTCAGCCTACTATGCATGGCCCGATTTGCCTAATAAGCCAAGTTTTCATGAATTAATATATTTTCTCAAAATTTTTTCTTTTGAAATGATAAAGCTACCCATTTCATTATGTATGAGGTCAATTTTTTTTCATTGGAGCTAAAATTAATGTAGATATATGACCTAACCTAACCAACCCCACCTAACCTAACCTACCCTATCTCTATAGGTTAGGTTGGGTTATGTAGCCGAAAAACTTAGGTTAGGTTAGGTTAGGTAGGTTAGGTAGTCGAAAAACAATTAATTCATGAAAACTTGGCTTATTAGGCAAATCGGGCCTTGCATAGTAGGCTGAGAAGTGAGTTCTGGCTACTAGGTACGACATATATATATATATATATATATATATATATATATATATATATATATATATATATATATATACTTTTAACTTTTAACGTTAACACTTAACGTGTTAACTTTCGTGATTTACACACATATAAATACTGGTTCATTCATGTGATCATAAATATATTCTAAGTACAAAGGACCAACATTTATGATCCGGTTCATAGATGACCAAATTTATGTGGGGGATTCTCCCAGCAGGTAATTGTTGAATTTGTTTTATTTAAATGAGTGGACTGTATTAAATTATATCTGCTGGGTGTTGTTACCATCTACACATAATTCGGGGATGATATTATACGTAACTTATATCAATAAATAATTGAATAATGATAAGCTACTAAACTATTATTTGTTAGTCTTCTACTACTTATGTTAAAAAAAATAAACACAGCTTAGCTGTAAGGAGATCAGTTGGTTTTGCAGTCATATGCCAGTTCTGAACAAAGGGAGCCACATCGAAAATTCTCGAATGATATGGCGTCAAGACAAATCTGTGTCGAAATAATTCGTGGTGGTCGTCTCTCTTTTTTTCTCGATGTCACCTGTTAAGAGATTAATTTCTGAAAAGAAATGAGCTTACCCGTTTCGGGTGCGGAAAGGTAGGGAAGGAGGTGAAGGAGAGGAAAGGTAGGGAACGTGAGGGAAGGAGGTGAAGGAGAAGAAAGGTAGGGAACGTGAGGGAAGGAGGTGAAGGAGAAGAAAGGTAGGGAACGTGAGGGAAGGTGGTGAAGGAGAAGAAAGGTAGGGAACGAGAGGGAAGGTGGTGAAGGAGAAGAAAGGTAGGGAACGAGAGGGAAGGTGGTGAAGGAGAAGAAAGGTAGGGAACGTGAGGGAAGGTGGTGAAGGAGAAGAAAGGTAGGGAACGTGAGGGAAGGTGGTGAAGGAGAGGAAAGGTAGGGAACGAGAGGGAAGGTGGTGAAGGAGAAGAAAGGTAGGGAACGTGAGGGAAGGTGGTGAAGGAGAAGAAAGGTAGGGAACGAGAGGGAAGGTGGTGAAGGAGAAGAAAGGTAGGGAACGTGAGGGAAGGTGGTGAAGGAGAGGAAAGGTAGGGAAGGAGAGGGAAGGTGGTGAAGAAGAGTGAAGGTTGTAAAAGAAGAGGAAAGATAATGATGGATAGGGAAGGAAATGAAGGATAAGGAAGGAGGTAAAGGGTATGGGTGTAGAGAAAGAGGGGTAAGGTTGCGAGGGAAAGGTAAGGTGGTGATGAAGAGGGAATATGGTGAAAGGTAGAGAAGGTAATGAATGGTAAGGCAGGTGTTGAAGGTAATGAGTTGAAGGGTAGAATATGTGGTAAAGAGGACGGAAGGTAGTGATGATGATGATCTTTGAAGATGGGGTACCCAGCGGTGACGAGTTAGTGAAGATGGTTTCAGTGAAGATGGTTGTGATCATTTACGATGGATACAGTAAGGAAGATCGGGTGAAGTATAAATGGTTACAGTGATAAAGGTCGTGTGAAGTGAAGATGTGGCCTTTGTCACCCGAGCAACGCCGGCTTTCCCAGCTAATATATTATAAAATAGATCAGAAGGCGTCTCTTCTAGGTTAAAAATTGTGATAAACGTTAGTAATATGCTTTATTTATCTCTAGTCTATGCACTTGTTGAAAGAAATAAGCTAGGGATTTGTCGATGTAGTCCAGGACGGAGAAGACCTGAGGTACAAGGCTACCACTTTCATGATAGTATTAACAGGAAGGTCAGTGTAGTCCAGGACGGAGTAGACCTGAGGTACAAGGCTACCACTTCATGACCAGATAACGTCATGTTATCTTCACTGTTTACGGTAGCGTCGGTACTCTAAAACAGCTGGGAGCACACATTAAAAACGTCAGTGAACGCAAAGAGGCAACTTACGCCAGTGTATAAAAACGGGTAAGTTACAGAACAATTAAACTAACAAGCGTCGTTGTAGAGACGTTGGCAAGAGACATGAGGAAGAAAGTGGATTAAGAGGGAGGAAAACAACACCTCTTAACAAAACACTTGTTAATTTAATCGGGAAAAGCCTTAATAATAATTTAGTTGCAGTAGTAAAACGAAAGACGAGCGGATTGCATTTAATTTAATTAAGAAACTGTCATGACAGTTTCTCAAAAAAGGCGAATATGCAAATTTAAGAAGTGGGTAAGTAAAATATCTCTACTTAAAATGATAGGAAACTTCCTTTCTGAAGGTAACATACAACCAGTGACACGAAAGAAGTCGAAAGCATGAGAGAAATATCGATAGTAGGGGACCCACATGGACCAGTACAGGTCTCAGCAGTCACTAGTGGGGACCCACATGGACCAGTACAGGTCTCAGCAGTCACTAGTGGGGACCCACATGGACCAGTACAGGTCTCAGCAGTCACTAGTGGGGACCCACATGGACCAGTACAGGTCTCAGCAGTCACTAGTGGGGACCCACATAGAACTGTACTGGTTCCAGCAGTCACTAGTGGGGACCCACATGGACCAGTACAGGTCTCAGCAGTCACTAGTGGGGACCCACATGGACCAGTACAGGTCTCAGCAGTCACTAGTGGGGACCCACATAGAACTGTACTGGTTCCAGCAGTCACTAGTGGGGACCCACATGGACCAGTACAGGTCTCAGCAGTCACTAGTGGGGACCCACATGGACCAGTACAGGTCTCAGCAGTCACTAGTGGGGACCCACATGGACCAGTACAGGTCTCAGCAGTCACTAGTGGGGACCCACATAGAACTGTACTGGTTCCAGCAATAACTAGTGGGGACACACTTAGAACTGTACTGGTTCCAGCAGTCACTAGTGGGGACCCACATGGACCAGTACAGGTCTCAGCAGTCACTAGTGGGGACCCACATGGACCAGTACAGGTCTCAGCAGTCACTAGTGGGGACCCACATGGACCAGTACAGGTCTCAGCAGTCACTAGTGGGGACCCACATAGAACTGTACTGGTTCCAGCAGTCACTAGTGGGGACCCACATAGAACTGTACTGGTTCCAGCAATAACTAGTGGGGACACACTTAGAACTGTACTGGTTCCAGCAGTCACTAGTGGGGACCCACATAAAACTGTACTGGTTCCAGCAATAACTAGTGGGGACACACTTAGAACTGTACTGGTTCCAGCAGTCACTAGTGGGGACCCACATAGAACTGTACTGGTTCCAGCAATAACTAGTGGGGACACACTTAGAACTGTACTGGTTCCAGCAGTCACTAGTGGGGGCCCACATAAAACTGTACTGGTTCCAGCAGACACTAGTGGTGACCCACGTGGACCAGTACTGGTGTAAGCAGTAATTAGTGGTGACCCACATGGATCAGTAATCGTCCCCAGCAGTCATTAGTGGGGGACTCACATGGACCCGTCCGCGTCCCGCAGTCACTAGTGGGGACCCACATGGATCAATACTGGTTCTAGCAGTCACCACGAGGGGACCCACATGAATCGGTACTGGTCACAGCATTCACTAATTGAGATCCACATGGTCCAGTACAGGTCCCAGCAGATACAAATTTGGACCAATATAGACCAGTACTGGATCGCGAAGTCACTAGTTATGACCCACATGGACCAGTTTGTTTCCGTGGAATCACTAGTGGGGACCCATATAGACCAGTACTGGACCCAGCAGTCACTAGTGTTGACCCACATGGATCAGTACTGGTCCCCATCCGTCACTAGTGGGGACCCACGTGGACCAGTACTGGTCAAAACAGTCACTGGGTGGGTACCCACATGTACCAGTATTTGTCTCACCTGTCACTAGTGCGGACCCATATGAAGAGTGCTGCTCCAATCAGTCACTAGTGGTGACTGATTGGAGCAGCATGGACCAGTTTTGGTCCCCTCCAGTCATTATTGGGGCCCCACATGGACCAGTACTGGTCCCAGCAGTCTCTAGTGAAGAGCCACATGGACCGTTACTTATCTCTGCAGTCAATAGTTGGGACCAAATAGTACTGGTCCCAATCAGTCACTAATGGGGACCAACAACGACCCGTACTGGGCCCAGCAGTAACTGGTGGGAGCCCACATGGACCAGTATTGGACGCTCCAGTTGTGGGGAATTAACTTGTGAGATTTGTAATTATTTAATTTATATAGAATTCATATTTTATGTTAATTTATATATTTCGATAGCAAATTGTATGAAGGTTTATAGTGAACTCTATTTCTTCAAATTCTCACAAATCGCTTCCATACACATTATGGGAGGTTTATTGTGTATATATATAGTCAATCAGAATTATTGATTAGCAGACATTCACTACAGTTTTAATGTCTGCTAATCATATATTAGTAATTAAAATTGGGAGGCCTTTATCTCTTGTAGGTAGTCCTGGTCCACCAGTTATGAACCAGCATGATCACACCAAATAATCCTCGTGGTTGAGGCTGGCATCAACACCATGTACTGGTGTACCCAGTAACTGTTCTGCTTCCTCTTAAATTGTTCTTGTCAAAAGGTACTTGTAACAATATCAGGGATCCTATATATATATATATATATGACAGCTACAGAGGAAATATTGGTAATTTAAATAAAGATATGAGAATAATGCTCAAAATGGGTTAGTCGGTGCCTCGTGACCTAACCGGAATTATCTTATCTACCAAACATTACTGGCCAGGAATGACTAGATCATTCCTGGCCAGAATAGGAATTTGTAGCGAGTAATCCTATACTCGCTCCATTATCTCATCATCTTAATGGCATAACTAATGACACAAGCTATAATCCTATCCCTATTTACAGGTAACGGTTTTTCCACCTACCTATCTTACTGTGTGGTGTAGTAACCGTATATAAGACAGCAATTTGAGAATAGCAAACCACCATGTAGGGTGCAGTCACACCTCCACAGATCTCCAGTATCATCTATTGATACTGGTGATGGCTCAAAAGGGCCACCACTTACGAGCTATTCATGCTCGTGCCACCTTTTCGGTGGCTTCATCTTCATCTTAACACATTCACAAGGGAGACATCTCCCGTCACGCAGGGTGCATTCGCACCTCCACAGATCTCCAGTATCAGCTCTTGATACTGGCAATGGTTTAAAAGGGCCACACTTGCGGGATATTCATGCCCGTGCCACCCTTTGGGTGGCTTAATCTTCATCAGTCAATCGAATAGCAAACCAGTACAATCTCCAGTCAAGAATGTAGTACTCGGTGTAGGCAGTTCAAATCGACCCAAGACGCTACAGCTTCGACACAGAGCAGGCAGCAGACTACAACCTCATCCAGCTACAACGCTCTCCTACGTAGAGCTCTACGACTCCGGCCTCACTCAGCTCTCTGCTCTGCTCCAGGCTTCGTCTCAACGTCTACGACACTGCTGTATCCAGGACTACTAAATAAATATGAAACTCACTAAACACTGTGTATCTAATCAACCCAACAACGTAACATAACCGTACGTTACAAATTGAAATATCGGAATTGGACACTTCCCTTGTATGAAGATGATGACTGAGTGTTGATAACGGAAACTCTAATTTACTCTAGATAACACTTCGTCCAAGGGAATTATTGGAGCTAGATTTGCCCAGCGATCGTTGTCTTAAATTACCAATGACTGACCTTCCTCCACTGAAGCTCTCTTGTCCAGATCTTAAAAAGTGGTAGAAAGGTCACATTTACTTTATTTTGGTACTAATAATTAAGGTGATTCAAGTGAGTTGGTTTTATGATTTTCACAGTCCCGAGACTGCTGTATTAACAATTTCCTGCAGAATAGCTGATGAATTTAATAGCGACGTGGTAATGATATCCCGTTTTCTATTGACGGAAAATTCCACTATAGGCTGGATTTTCTATGGGTTAACTTGTTTACACAACCCAGCAGCAATATTACCTGTCTATTGTATGGAATAATAGTAAATGGTGTCTGTTTTCCGACACCAGTCTCTATTAGGGGACCCACATGGACCAGTACTGGACCCAGCAGTCTCTAGTGGGGACCCACATGGACCAGTACTGGACCCAGCAGTCTCTAGTGGGGACCCACATGGACCAGTACTGGACCCAGCAGTCTCTAGTGGGGACCCACATGGACCAGTACTGGACCCAGCAGTCTCTAGTGGGGACCCACATGGACCAGTACTGGACCCAGCAACCTCTAGTTAGGACCCACATGGATCAATACTGGTCCTATCAATCACTAGTGCGACCCACGTGGACCAGTTCTGGTCCCAGGAATCCGTAGTGTGGACCCACATGGACCAGTACTTCTCCCACCAGTAACTAATAGAAACTCACATGGGCCAGTACTAGTCCCATCAGTCACTAATGGGAAGCAACATGGACCAATACTTATCCCAGCAGTCACTAATGGGGACCCACATAGATCAATATTGGTCCCACCAGTTGCTAGTAAGGACCCACATGGACCGGTACTTTTCCCAGCAGTCAATAGTGGTGACCGAAAAGGAGAAGTACCGGTCCCAGCAGTCACTAGTGGGGACCAATACTTATCCCAGCAGTCACTAGTGTGGTTCCGCACTAATAGGTGTTGACCTACCAGCAATCAATAGTAGGGAAATAACCTCATCTCCCAACACAAACTTACCCAATTTGTATATCACAAGTGTCGCGATGTATATCACAAGTGTGACTGATGTTTAGTTGACTGAAGGTCAACATTAGTATTACTCTTGCAACAAAGACATCCGTTGTTGCTGTTTATTTTGACCTTGAAATGTTTTACAACACTAACTGGAATTTCAATATGTGGTCTCAGAGGCATTTGTTTGACTTTCGTGGCAAACTCCTGCTATTCTGTTTTAGCTTCTGTTAGTCGTTCTTTACAGTTACTTTGTATCACCATCTCGACTGTTTTCGCCATTAAAATGGTATTTCTCAGGGTTGTGTTCAGAACACTAATTTTTTCCTCATTATCCTTAATGGTCTTCATACCTTCCTTCCTCTCGCTTTTTCTCGGCCTTTAAGTTCACAATCTCACTGTGTTGTGGCGGGAATGGCTCTTCTTTCCTCCAATGCCAGCTCCAACTTGCTATTGATGCTGTGTGGTCCTAGGCCACCAATCATGGCTTAAAGTTTTCTTCGTTAATGACCTGTTCTATGAATTTCATTTGAAAATAGGTCGTTCTTCTCCCCACTGTAGATCTATAGTAGTCCCGTTCTGTATAAAGATTCTTTTAAACTTTTTGGGTTGAACTTTAACACTCATTTGCCCTGTTTACCCCCTTATCTCTTACCTCCGTGTCGAATGTTCTAACCCTCCTTACTTTACTTCATCTAGGATGGTACTTCCTGAGGAGGTAATTGACGTACACTTTTATTTTTGTACTCGTTTCTCTCGTTATGTTTAAACTTGATTATAGACGCCCTGCCTACTTCTCTGCCTGTCCTACGACCCTTTGTCGTCTTGATGTTCTGCACCATGCTGGGTTGTGGCTCAACTCTGATGCCATTGGTTCGTCCCATACCCAGAGTTTGTATGTTAAAACCGGCGTCTTGTCGCTACAGGATCGCCGGAATTAATATTTCCTTCACTTCCTCGCACAGTCTCTGCAACTACCTCCTTCTCGCTTTTGTCGAGCGTTGGATATTGTCCCTCTGGTGGGCCTTGTTCCTTTTCAGCACCCCTTTTCTAAAATGATTTCTCACTTGCAAGCTTACCTTTCGGTTGTGTTCTCAATTTGTTTCCTCGCATAGTTACATCCTTGCCCAACACACAGGGTAACTGTTCGTTAAGTTTTGCAAAACTTTGAGCAACATGGTAAAGACATTTACCCTTCCTACACTCTACTGCGCACACTTTCATTCCAGTCTGCTGATAGCGTTCGTAACTCTATACTTTTTCCAGATCAATCCTACATGTGCCACACAACGGAGGCAAGCATCTTCACGGCTGAGATTATGCAATTGTCTATACTTTTCGGTAACTGCTTTTCCCATGTAAACGCTCCTTTGTTATTGTAGATGACTCTCGAAATGCTCTCATACCTCTAGAGTCTTTTAACCCTCTGCATCCTGTGGCCGTCTTAATCCAATATAGGCCATTTCGAATATTTAACAAAGTTAGGACAGCTGAGAAATGCTGGGTTTCCAGCCATAATTGTACTGCCTTAAATGAGGGTGTGAACATTGTCAATAAAGAGACTATCCACACTTGTCCTATTCCTCAATAAGACATCCCTTATTCAGATTTCTACCCAGTCATTCATTCCTCAATCCTAGACCGACTGCAGGGTCGTTGGTCTGGTGTTACTGGTAACAAACTGCGAGCTATTAAGTGTACCCTGTCCTATTGCTTATTGTCCGAACTGCATTTTCCCTCTTACAGTCGTGACCTTCTTGTAGAATGTAGACCGATTTTCAATACGGTAGTGTCCTGTTTTCCGGATCTGCCTTGTGGTTATTTGTTCGTCGATAGAATCCTTAGGTAATCATTTCTCTCGGATATAGTTATCTCCTTTGAATATCCAGTGTCATTGATGGTACTTCATAGTCTTCCCCTGCTTCGTGCCGCCTTTTGATAATTACTTGTGACTATAAATACATATATACAAACAAACACCTATATATGAATAAGTAACATGCATACATTCAATAATATATATTTACATTTTATGCCGTTCATTTAAACCTCTAAACACGGTCGCTTGAAGGAGTACATTTGGTGTTAAATGTTATCGTTTTATATTTTAAGATTCCTAGAAGTTCCATTATAAAATATGCATAGAAACAATGTAACAAAAAGAACAGAAGGACTAACTGGCATTGCTGCCTCGGGCACTCAGCCGAGTCATTGTGACTGGTCTCAGTAGTTGCGTTATCTGTGAGAGGTGTGGCCGTGCTCCTTACTGTCTGTGAGAGGTGTGGCAGTGTTCCTTACTGTCTGTGAGAGGTGTGGTCGTGCTCCTTACTCTCTGTGAGAGGTGTGGTCGTGCTCCTTACTGTCTGTGAGTGGTGTGGCAGTGCTCCTTACTGTCTGTGAGAGGTGTGGCCGTGCTCCTTACTCTCTGTGAGAGGTGTGGCCTTGCTCCTTACTCTTCCTTTATAACCGAAAACACAACCGGTGAGTCCAAATATAATTTGTTTTATATAAATTAACTGAATTAGGTCAATCAGTATATAGGAATTATTTTAATTGCCTCTAAACTTATTAGTTACCATTAATATTTCCTTGTAATTTTCAGGGTTAGACAGTGTTAAGGTGGGGCCGTTTGATGTTTTCAAGCATGGGTTGGACATGTATATGAGTGGGGATTGGGTAGTTATATATAGCAGCTGCCTTGTGTGGGCCAATAAGCCTTCAGCCGTTTCCCCCTCCCCGTTCCTATATTCTTATTATGAATTGTTTTTCAGTATGAGTTCTTTGTTTTGCTGCTTATTTTATTGTATTTTTTTTATTGTTTTATATATATATATATATATATATATATATATATATATATATATATATATATATATATATATATATATATATATATATATATATATATATATATATATATATATATATATATATATATATATATATATATATATATATATATATATATATATATATATATATATATATATATATATATGTTAGTATATTGTTAGTATATTTTGGTAGCAGTCTTTCCTGTAGACATATTTTATTAAATATGGCCGAAAAAGTAAGATTAATAATTCTAACACGAATTTTCTCAATCTTTCATACATTTCTTTTCACTGTTGCAGGTAATTCAAAAATCAATTCTCCAAAATTCATTTATATTTCTAGTCTGACACGACACTTGAGCGCGTTTCGTAAAACTTATTACATTTTCAAAGACTTTACACATACACAACTGAATAGAACTTACATATCTCCGATTTGTTTATATCTACATTTGAGTGAGGTGGATGGGGTGAGGTGGTATTTAATAGGGTATTAATTTCATCAACACAAGACAGAACACGAAACAATGGGTATTGAAATGGAAGTGATTGTAGAAAGCCTATTGGTCCATATTTCTTGATGCTTCTATATTGGAGCGGAGTCTTGAGGTGGGTAGAATATAGTTGTGCATTAATTGGCTGTTGATTGCTGGTGTTGACTTCTTAATCTGCAGTGCCTCGCAAACGTCAAGCCGTCTGCTATCGCTGTATCTATCGATGATTTCTGTGTTGTTTACTAGGATTTCTCTGGCGATGGTTTGGTTGTGGGAAGAGATTATATGTTCCTTAATGGAGCCCTGTTGCTTATGCATCGTTAAACGCCTTGAAAAAGATGTTGTTGTCTTGCCTATATACTGGGTTTTTTGGAGCTTACAGTCCCCAAGTGGGCATTTGAAGGCATAGACGACGTTGGTCTCTTTTAAAGCGTTCTGCTTTGTGTCTGGAGAGTTTCTCATGAGTAGGCTGGCCGTTTTTCTGGTTTTATAGTAAATCGTCAGTTGTATCCTCCTCCGTTTTATGAACTGTGGAAAAGAAGTTCCTGTAAAATAGTCTAATAGGGGGTATAGGTGTTGTGTTGGTTGTCTCTTCAGAGGTTGCATGGCGTTTCACTTTCCTTCTTATGATGTGTTCGACGAAAAAATTGGAGAAGCCGTTGTTGACTAGGACCTGCCTTACCCTACAGAGTTCTTCGTCGACTTGCTTCCATTCTGAGCGGTGGCTGAGAGCACGGTCGACATATGCGTTAACAACACTCCTCTTGTACCTGTCTGGGCAGTCGCTGTTGGCATTTAGGCACATTCCTATGTTCGTTTCCTTAGTGTAGACTGCAGTGTGGAAACCTCCGCTCTTTTCCATGACTGTTACATCTAGAAAGGGCAGCTTCCCATCCTTTTCCATCTCGTAAGTGAAACGCAGAACGGAACTCTGCTCAAATGCCTCCTTCAGCTCCTGCAGATGTCTGACATCAGGTACCTGTGTAAAAATGTCGTCAACATACCTGCAGTATATGGCCGGTTTCAAGTTCATGTCGACTAAGACTTTTTGCTCCATGGTACCCATGCAGAAGTTTGCAAACAGGACACCTAGGGGAGAACCCATGGCGACCCCATCTACTTGCTTATACATGTGCCCATCCGGGCTCAAGAAGGGTGCCTCTTTAGTACAAGCTTGGAGTAGTTTCCTCAGAATATTTTCTGGTATGTCAAGAGGAGTATAGGCTGGACCACGATACACTCTGTCGGCTATCATCCCGATTGTCTCGTCCACAGGTACGTTGGTAAACAGCGATTCTACGTCCAACGAGGCTCTTATCCCTGTGGCCCGTGTGCCCCGCAGTAAGTCAACAAATTCCTTTGGAGACTTCAGGCTGAAGGCGCAAGGAACATAAGGAGTCAGCAGGCCGTTGAGTCGCTTCGCCAGTCTGTACGTGGGTGTGGGTATCTGGCTAATGATTGGCCGAAGTGGGTTTCCAGGCTTGTGTGTCTTGACATTTCCATATGCATATCCAGGTTTATATTCCCCAATGATCTTTGGCAGGTGGAGTCCGGATTTCTTGGCGTTCACAGTTTCGATCAGTTTGTTGACCTTTGCTTTCAATTCGGCTGTAGTGTCCTTCGTTACCCTTTGGAACTTAGTTTGTCAGAGAGTATGAGGTTCATTTTCGCCAGATATTCGTCTTTTTTAAGAATGACATATATTGGCGACTTGTCACCTCTCCTGACAACTATCTCCTTGTTCTCACGAAGGCTTTTAGCTGCCGCTTTGAGCTTGGGGGACAGTATGGTGCTTCTGTAATTGCCTCGATTCTTTCCTCCTTCTGCAATAAGTTCTGCTTGTAAGGTATCTTTGGTAGTGACCTTCTTTTGTGTTGCGACGTGACGCGACTTTAGTTTAAACATACACAACTGAATAGAACTTACACATCTCCGATTTGTTTATATCTACATTTGAGTGAGGTGAATGGGGTGAGGTGGTATTTAATAAGGTATTAATTTCATTAACACAAGACAGAACACGAAACAATGGGTATTGAATAGAAGTGATTGTAGAAAGCCTATTGGTCCATATTTCTTGATGCTTTTATATTGTAGCGGAGTCTTGAGGTGGGTAGAATATAGTTGTGCATTAATTGGCTGTTGATTGCTGGTGTTGACTTCTTGATGTGTAGTGCCTCGCAAACGTCAAGCCGCCTGCTATCGCTGTATCTATCGATGATTTCTGTGTTGTTTACTAGGATTTCTCTGGCGATGGTTTGGTTGTGGGAAGAGATTATATGTTCCTTAATGGAGCCCTGTTGCTTATGCATCGTTAAACGCCTAGAAAGAGATGTTGTTGTCTTGCCTATATACTGGTTTTTTTGGAGCTTACAGTCCCCAAGAGGGCATTTGAAGGCATAGACGACGTTGGTCTCTTTTAAAGCATTCTGCTTTGTGTCTGGAGAGTTTCTCATGAGTAGGCTGGCCGTTTTTCTGGTTTTATAGTAAATCGTCAGTTGTATCCTCTGATTTTTGTCTGTAGGGATAACGTTTCTATTAACAATATCTTTCAGGACTCTTTCCTCCGTTTTATGAACTGTGGAAAAGAAGTTCCTGTAAAATAGTCTAATAGGGGATATAGGTGTTGTGTTAGTTGTCTCTTCAGAGGTTGCATGTCGTTTCACTTTCCTTCATATGATGTGTTCGACGAAACCATTGGAGAAGCCGTTGTTGACTAGGACCTGCCTTACCCTACAGAGTTCTTCGTCGACTTGCTTCCATTCTGAGCTGTAGCTGAGAGCACGGTCGACATATGCGTTAACAACACTCCTCTTGTACCTATCTTGACAGTCGCTTTTGGCATTTAGGTACATTCCTATGTTCGTTTCCTTAGTGTAGACTGCAGTGTGGAAACCTCCGTTCTTTTCCATGACTGTTACATCTAGAAAGGGCAGCTTCCCATCCTTTTCCATCTCGTAAGTGAAACGCAGCACGGAACTCTGCTCAAATGCCTCCTTCAGCTCCTGCAGATGTCTGACATCAGGTACCTGTGTAAAAATGTCGTCAACATACCTGTAGTATATGGCCGGTTTCAAGTTCATGTCGACTAAGACTTTTTGCTCGATAGTACCCATGTAGAAGTTTGCAAACAGGACACCTAGGGGAGAACCCATGGCGACCCCATCTACTTGCTTATACATGTGCCCATCCGGGCTCAAGAAGGGTGCCTCTTTAGTACAAGCTTGGAGTAGTTTCCTTAGGATATTTTCTGGTATGTCAAGAGGAGTACAGGCTGGATCACGATACACTCTGTCGGCTATCATCCCGATTGTCTCGTCCACAGGTACGTTGGTAAACAGCGATTCTACGTCCAACGAGGCTCTTATTCCTGTGGCCCGTGTGCCCCGCAGTAAGTCAACAGATTCCTTTGGCGACTTCAGGTTGAAGGCGCAAGGGACATAAGGAGTCAGCAGGCCATTGAGTCGCTTCGCTAGTCTGTACGTGGGCGTGGGTATGATTGGCCGAAGTGGGTTTCCAGGCTTGTGTGTCTTGACATTTCCATTTGCATATCCAGGTTTATATTCCCCAGGGGAATATAAACCTGGATATGCGTATGGAAATGTCAAGACACACAAGCCTGGAAATCCACTTCAGCCAATCATTAGCCAGATAACCACACCCACGTACAGACTAGCGAAGCGACTCAATGGCCTGCTGACTCCTTATGTCCCTTGCGCCTTCAGCATGAAGTCACCAAAGGAATCTGTTGACTTACTGCGGGGCACACGGGCCACAGGAATAAGAGCCTCGTTGGACGTAGAATCGCTGTTCACCAACGTACCAGTGGACAAGACAATCGGGATGATAGCCGACAGAGTGTATCGTGATCCAGCCTGTACTCCTCTTGACATACCAGAAAATATCCTAAGGAAACTACTCCAAGCTTGTACTAAAGAGGCACCCTTCTGGAGCCCGGATGGGCACATGTATAAGCAAGTAGATGGGGTCGCCATGGGTTCTCCCCTAGGTGTCCTGTTTGCAAACTTCTACTTGGGTACCATCGAGCAAAAAGTCTTAGTCGACATGAACTTGAAACCGGCCATATACTGCAGGTATGTTGACGACATTTTTACACAGGTACCTGATGTCAGACATCTGCAGGAGCTGAAAG